CGCGCATGCGCACACTATCTCCCTCCTCTCTCCACCTGTCCCTCTCTCATCCTCTCTTTTCCTTCCTCTTCCTCCTCCTCCTCCTCCTCCTTTCTCCTCCTCCATCTCCATCGTTCTCCACCACTGAGAAGTTGAGCTCCGGAAATTGATAGATACACTCCCAAGTCTGATGCTTCATGTGCAGTTACGTTCCCACTGGCAACCAATACTCTTAGTCACGGAGTAGAATTGTCTGTCATTTGGGTTTAATTCGCCATTTATGTGCAATTTATTCCCCATTTAGAACCATCAACTTTTTTTTTTTAAAGAAATGAATGAAATAGGCCAAACTATCACATTTTCTTGTGAAATGTAGCATTTGAAGAATTATTTAATATTTGTGTCGTATTTGAATGTATCAAAGATTAATTCACTCGTCAGAGTTATTATTTTTATTAATTAGATATTCATTTGACCCGATAAATTGAATTCGTCTAGACGTGTACGACAGACATAAAGCTAAAAGAAACATGATTGAAGATGTATATCGAATAATCTTATTTTTGACATGACACAGGCTATGTTTCTTATTCATACCAAGATTAAAAGTCGATTCAAGTCATATTTACAAATATGGAAATCCGAATAAAGGAATAGCCCTTTTCTCGATGTGTCACTTTTGTATTTTTACGACATTGTACTCCGTATAGCACATTTTCAACACAGCAAGAAAACATTTAGTCTTGGCGCCGCAGTGCGGACGCCACGCGCGGCAGAAATGATGCCGACAATTTAATCTGTAATAAGTCGCCAAAATGCTGTACTGAACGCGACGAAGTGTTTTTTTTTCAGAGCGCTTGTGTAAGATGTAATAGAATCAATCTTCTGGCAAGCAAGATGCTGGTAAACGAAAGAAAAAGACCGTTTTTCTCTTTCTATTTCACGCGCGATGTTGTCGCAGCCCGGCGGGCCGAGGCAGGTAAAACGAAGATAGCTGCCGGGCATCCGCAAAACTCGACTCGCTTCGAATAATATAAAGTCATCAGCGCAGCAAGTAAACGGTAAGAATCGACGGTGAAATGGCGGCGTGATGCCAATGCTAAAAAGGGGGTTGGTTCTGTTTGATTATATTCTGTAAAGAGATAAAGGTAAGCCCACTGATGGGTTCCTTCGTGACCCCTCCTCTGCGTCTCTGGATGACTGCCCCGATGCGTAGATTGAAAGACCGTAAAAGGAACGGCAAAATGGCGCGCAAAATCGGCTCAACTGAAGCAAGAATCGCGCCTGCGGGCTCCCAGGCAGTTCGTTGCTTCGATTCGGAAAATCATTTTGTATTGGCAGTCACCGCGAGGAAGAGCAGGAAATTATGCGATAACACTTTTGTAATAGGTAGATTGACCTCATAAAAATGTTGCAAATGATTGTAGGCGCGCTGAACGGATGGCTGGTGTATGGGGAGTGTGCTTGCTGACATGTTATAGCTCCAAGCGCAGATTCAGAACAAGCCAGCTGAGTAAAAGCAAAGAAGAAGAGCTCACTGCTCTGTTTTGACGAAAGCGGATGAAAGACAAATTATGTACAATTGCCGAAAAAGAGAGCTAACTAGCATGAACGGAAAAGCAGCCCCAGGACTACGTTTCCTTGTCCCTTTTCAATTCCAACTTCGGTTAATTACTTATTTCACCCCTAAACGACTCGCTCTCTGTTCCGTCCGCCTTTCAAAACACGAATGTCAATAATTGCCTTGCTCTCATATAGCTGCTCTGCCAACGAAACAAGTTGAAAGATAACATGTAGACTCGGTTTGGCGATACAAAAGCAGGTGTGAGTCTTACGCCTCAGAAACACAGATATTAAAAAGACAGGAATTTGTGTGATGAAATGCTCAAATGATTCCACCTCCCATTTGAGTGTGTTATAGTTAAAGTTTATTTTAGGTCAGAGCGAGAAATAAGAACTCTTAACGAAGCGTTATAATTCGGTGTCGACTCATAAAGCTCGTCTTCTTCTCCGTATATTAAAAATACATATTTATAGATATCTATACTCTCCAATGAATACAGTATAGCGTAAACTATTCGCTTTGTTTAATTTGGAATAGGTTTAGTGATCTAGATTATAGAGCAACCAATTAATTGCACCGCCAATATTTTTATTTTCCTGTTTCTCGAGACGTGTGATCCCCTTCTTGGGCAGACGATCTCTCCAAGAAGTGAGGTATTATATCTCCCGCCATAGTTCGGTGTGTTTTCAGCGGCTGATTCCGTGTTGTTTTTAAGCGGATTCCTTGATGGTCTTTGGGGAAATAAGACGCAGTTAGCACTTGTTACTCACCGCTCTCTCTCTCAAAATTCATAATCGTTTGCTCTTCTTAAGTGTATGTAATGCGATTAGAAGAGTTCCGCTTGGGGAGGAGGAGAATCGAAGCTGGTTTGGAAAGCCTATCATTCCAAAAAATGACGACAGGTTTATTATTTTTGTCATTTTTAACACTTTGAGTCAACCCTGTTTCCTACAAAGTGAATATTATACCCCCGCTGTAAAATAATTCCATACGTAATGAAATTTCAGAGATAATAGGTTCCAACAAGAAGGCGATGCGTCATTGCAGAGTCGTTTCTTCCAGATTCTAAAATGTCATTTTAATGAATATGAAATATTGTATGATGCTAAAGCGTGCGATAAAGATTAAAACCAGTTAATTGGTACCGTGTGATATTTTTGACATTAAATGCTGAAATATAAATTGATATAACGGCGTATGCGATATTTGTTGACGTAATACTAAATACGTTAAGAAGAATATTGTTGTACTATCATTGTCACAAAATTTCCACGGTACTATATATTTCAAAGTTTATCATTCAGCATTACAACGTTTTAAGTTCTCTTGAATAACTTGTCGCATATTGATAATTATAGAAGATGCATTACATTTGTAAAAGGCATCGTTTTAATTTAAAAAAAATCTTTGTTTAAACATATTACGTTGGTGACTACTATTAGTAAGGCTTATCAGTTAGCTCTGTATTTCTCTCAAAGTAGTATGAATTAAGAAAGTAAATTGTGATTGAGAATCCTCGCAGAATTAAGTGGAATAATAGGACTCTTTCTTCATTTCATTATAAATAAAACTTGATTAAATAAATAAATAAATAAATAATGTTTGGTTGATCTATTTTAAACCTAGTCCTCTTTTTTGATACACGTATATTCTGGGAGTGTTCTGTTTCAATGTATAAATTACTCTCATTAACTCAACACTTTTGTTGGGGGATGGGGGTAAGGGTCATAAAAACTGTTTGCAGTAGCACCCCACCCCCCCCCCCCCCCCCATTCTTGATTATTTTTTTTTTTTTTGTAAAAACTGGATAAATAATCATCACCAAATACACATTTCCTATCTCCAGAACTCAATTAATAAATTGAATTCAATCTGTAGATGTGGATAATCATTTACATTTTTTTTATAAATTCGAAACAAAAAAACAATATTTTATTAGTAAAAAGTGGGCACAATTGAAAATTGTTTATCTCTACACATATAAGCTCCTCATGCGCGTCATGGCGCATTCAATGTACAATCACTGTAATTACGTTAATGATGGGTGGAAGTGCTATATAACGGGGTTGTGAGCAAGCTCATACCATTACCCTGATCAGGAAATAGACTCAGTCGTGCAGAGGGGCACATAATCCCAGCTTAAAAACCCAATTTCATTATGAAATGAGAATGTAACTGAATTTTTCATAAGGACCATGCCTATGAATTATGGTGTTGTCTCAGTGATATCATTGAATATAGTTAGCAAGCGTTTAGGACTAATTAACTAGCTACGATGGATGAATTTCTGGTCTATCTCCTTCTACGCTCGCTATCTCTCTCTCTCTCTCTCTCTCTCTCTCTCTCTCTCTCTCTCTCTCTATGTCTATACGTTCAAATGAAATGATGAGTCAAAACCCACGCTCCTAGTCTGGTTAAAGATATAGTTAAGTTATGGGCCCCGTCTTACAAACAGTTGCGTTCAATCGCAACTTATTTGCAGATGATATCAATCTCAACTACAGTGTATACATAGGAGATAGGAGAGTGCAACTTGCGATTAATTAGAGGACTTGCGATTGATCTTGCGATTGATTCGGATCAATCGCAACTCTTTTCCCTGGTCATGCGATTGCATCTTAAAAGAACCGTGTGGAAGTAATTGGAAAAGATTTATGATAAGACGTTTGCCCCGTCTTGCTAGAAGTCACGCGCACTGTACAGATGAATGTGTATATGGGACTACACAAACAAATGGCATGAAAGTGTGTTCCACAAACTTTAGCTGTTATTTGTCATATTTCGAATATGAAAGCATTTGAAGAGCCATCCTTTTCAGGGGACACTATTATTCTAGATACTCTTCCAGACTTACTCACAAAAATGAAAGCTCACAAAATATTGTTTACCTTACCCAGAACTCAACCTTTTCTTTGATGTCGAATGATTGTCGTAACCAATATCTATTTCATATTAATTAAAGTTTTATAATTTCCTTTTCTGTCATTTTCTGAAAGATAAAGATGACAAGGATTCAAATGATAACAAGAGGAGGAGAAGTCGAACCAACTTCAATGGTTGGCAGCTGGAGGAGCTTGAACGCGCCTTCAATGAGAGTCATTACCCAGATGTCTTCACCAGGGAAGCACTCGCAATGCGATTGGACCTTGTTGAGTCACGTGTTCAGGTGAGGGTGAGACGCCATTTTATTTTTTGTTTTGCTCATTTATTTTAATAAACTGTGGTTTTGTGTTCGTCTTTTATTCGTTGGTAAAGCATTTGTATTGAAAGGCAAGTATCATTGATAGACTCTTTTGTTCATGCATGTATCTCAGTCTCTGTATCTCTCTCTCTCTCTCTCTCTCTCTCTCTCTTCCTCTCATTATCTCTACTTTTTCTTTCTCGGAGAAAACAAAATTATGGATTCTGTTTCTATTGTCAAAATCAGTGATATTGCAAAGCCTAATCGATTCATCCACACAAACAATCAAATTCGTTTTATTGAGTAGTCGTTACGTTTGAATGTACTAAATCAATGTTCGACAAGATATCAAAGTTCCCTTTTCCAATAGGATAATCTGTCAAGAGCGATTAAATGTTCTTGTTATCGTATGTCTATCATATCTAATTCCATCATCTAATTGGAAGGCATGATAGTTGGAAGATCGGTACACTTTAAAAGATAATTTGGCAGCCTTAATCAGTAAAGCAAAAGCGCTACCCTTTCCTTAGTCGCCGTTAACCTAATCAATTTACCAAACTCGCGTGGGTGGTTCAACTTGACACCAACGATTCAAGTTAACAAATCTTGTTTACCCACCCAGTCGATAATTCGACACCCGAATTAGTCCAATAAATTGTTACGGATACTGATTCGAAAGAAAGAAGAAAATAGATCATCGGACTCAACTCCAATACGTCATGGTCAAACAGTCTTAAATGTGTTTATCAACAGGTGATCCTGTTTCAGAGGGCACAGCCCAGTGCGTAGTACTAAAAAAGGGTAGCTCTGCATGTATTAGGGGAAAGAAAATGTTTTGGGTAGGCCTAAATACGCTCTCTTACACTCTTTATTATACTTTTCATTACCCCCCCCCCCTCCTCTCTCTCTCTCTCTCTCTCTCTCTCTCTCTCTCTCTCCCTCTCTCTATCCATCTATCTCTGTTTTTCTCATTCTTTTTCTAAACACACTATCATAATTATCTACCCATCCCATTGTTATCCTAAATGTTCATGCTTTAAGTTGACAGTATATCATGTACGATGATTACAATGTAAAATTCACATTTATAAGGAAAAAATTAGAATAATCATTAGTTGTTGAACTTATCCCCCACGCACTAACATAATATGTCAGATATTTTCCCACGTGCACCACTGTCTCTCGGCTGCTGAGCAAAGCAATCAGAGAAAGTGGAAGTTTTGCTAATTGTTTATTGATCTCTTTTGTGTCGTTTCTTGACGCTTTTGACTCTTTGATGTCATAGGCCAGAGATTGTTGCCCCCTTATCAACACAATGTATCTTATTGACAGAGTAAACTTGGTCAAGAATAAAGCAACGTGTCAAGATAAATGCGGTACAATTAATTTACTGTTGTCCGCTACTATATACGTCTCTTGTTTGGTCAACCCCCTCCGTAGTTTATTGTTTCATTCTGTCGTGTCATATTGAAGGTATATTGGCAGTAACTTGCTAATGTGAGCTATACAATTAGCCGCCTTTTTGACAGTTATAAATCCAGCAGTGTCGTCTAGGAATGGCAGGCTGTAGCCTCGACTTGCGTCTTGAACGAATCTCTGTCTTTTTGTGTGTTCTCATTGATTATGTAAACGTCCTTCTCACGCCAAACTGTAAACGCCGTCTTTTTTTAAGACATCATCGGTTCGTGTGGCTGGGCAGAACGCAGGGCTTTATGGAACGGAACACGTTTTCATTTTCGTCCTTCTCGTTAAACTGTGTGTTAAGTGTCACTCATTTCGAATCGATAATTGAATCAAAATATTGGCTCCTAGTCCAGTAATTAATCCTCGCGGAGAGTCATTTAGACGGTCTTTGTTGGCTAATTAGCAAGCGTTTTGAACTAATAGAGTATCAAGAAGACCGTTTATTGTTTAGTTTAACTCAGAATTTCTGTACATATCATAAAAGATGAAAACAGAGTAATAATATAATAATATCCTAATAGTCCACTCCAAATTTTATTAAACCGAAACGGAAATTCTTTTTTCCCAATTGATCGACGTTGCTCTATCCCTTATTGTTGAACGCCAAACAAGGTAGCAACAACTCCCATCTTTTAACGTCATTTGGTATGACGCGGCCGGGGTAGGCCTAATCTAAGTGATATTGTTATATCTTGTAATCGCATAAAATTATCTGAATCCCTCTCCCCATAAGTATCCATTTTAAGTACTGTTGCTATTTGACCAAATCATTATGTTTATGACAAAATGAGTATGAAACCTCCTCATACGTACGGAGGTGAGACTTTATATTGATCAGTGATTTGATGATTGCGACTGATCACGAAAAATAAATGTGATTTTTTTTTTTAACGTAATTAGACAAAGATAGGGATCGCACCAAAGGATTATTAGGGCTGCAGAGGACTTAAACATGTTAAAAGCAAAGATCAAAACAAAACATAACATTAGAAAAGCAAAGAGAGAGGAAGAGAAAAGGGTTATATGTATCTCCGAATTTCTGAAAGGCTAAATATTTAGGAATAAAAAAGAATACAAGGAAAATATACAGGAGGGCGGCGATTGCTTCATATTCTCTCTCTCTCTCTCTCTCACTCACACACACACACACACACAACACACACACACACACACACCATTGCAATTTCGTATATCTGTTTCTTTTCTACTTCTTCCAGCCACTTTATAATTTCTGCTGAGGGATGAGAGATTTATTTTTAAAAAATCCTCAATCGCTAGAATCATGAAGACTTGGAATAGGTTATCTCGTGCGATGTCCCTTGTATGCATCTCTCTCTCTCTCTCTCTCTCTCTCTCTCTCTCTCTCCCTTCTCTCTCTCTCTCTCTCTCTCTCTCTCTCCCGCCCTCATTCCCTCCCCCTCCTCTCACTTGGTCGAAGAAGCCTCGGTTGCTTGCATTTAAAGAATCAATAAAATGAAAAAGGGGAATTTATATCGCTCGTCATTTGGAGTCAAAATTGCCTCTGCGGTTGACATTGACAGAATTATACAATCATGGTAAATTAGCCAAAGTAAATCACTTTGGCTTTCTATTGATTGCACGAGGCGATGTATGTAATCGTAACACAGGCAAAAGCCAATAAACCGACCACCAAACATAAGTCATTACACAAAAATCACAGTCATCATCAGATTCTCTGGCAAAGCAATTAAAATTGCTGCGGTGAAGAAATACAGAGGAAGGGGAGAAAAAGATACGTAAACGACAAGAATTGATTTCTTTAAATGGATAGAAAACTATCTTAATTTCATTTCTCCGCCGGGAAAATGGAATATTACGGCGGAGAAGGGCGAACCAGCAATCGAGCACAATGACGTTTCCTGGTAAATACGCGCAGTTTCCGGTTTCCGTTCCGGCAATGCATGATGGACGTATCATGGCCGTGCATTGGTTTCTAATCAGTCGCGAAGCAAGCAAGTCGATCGCTAATCAGAAAATAGAAAAATGGTGCAATATAGCAATTTGCATCGAAGCCTGCATTGAAGGTAGCAGTTTTTTGTAGCCTCTGACACATGTCTTTAACATTATTAAATGTCACTGCATTATATCTGATTGAATTGACCCCAACAATCAACAAAAGAAAATAAGTCAAAAGCAACGCGTAATATTTAGATGTGGCAACGCAGTTATTAATTAAAAATGGGTACGTTAGTTTCTATGCATAATCGAATAGCATTTCGATTGTGTTATATTCATTTGAGGGTTTTCCCCTACAAGTCAGTATAGTTAATAAACTTTTGTGAGGTTTGATTTATATAGATGTAAATATTGTCGATGCCCTTCCTTCCCTCGCTTTTTTAGAAATATTGAAGACGTGCACGGGAAACGAAATTTTGAAATGGCTATGTATGAACAAAAAATCTCTAATGATATATATATATATATATATATATATATATATATAACATTTTTATCCCATTTTTAGATCAAATTGTCCAATATTGCGACTGTAATTTCCGGAATGAAAACTTTCGTTCATAAAGTATGATTTCTCTCATTTTTATACAGAACTCTTTGAAAACATGATACCACGAACTGACTGAATTCAAAATCATTATTGATAAAAACAAAATCGCAAAATTAATGACAATATTTTCCATGTAAATTAGCGATACATTATTTGATATCCGAATTTTAAATCTCAAGGGTCTAATTTTAAGAAGGTAAGCGCTATGCGAACTTAGATCCTCGATTAATTCTGTGGAATTATATTTGCATTTTAGAAATGACCATCTCACGCTCAATCTTTCGCTTTTGTAGCGCCGCGCGAGGTCTTTCTAAACGCTCAATGCGGAGTCAATGGAGCAATATTGCGTATTTAAATTGAGGGAAATCGCTTGAAAATCTCGTATGTGCAGCTTAACTTGAGCTTGCTTTCCACACGACAGATTCTGCATGCGCGTGAAATAAAAGAAAGGGATACAAAAATTTGCCCTGAGGAACTAGTACCGTCTGTCGTAGCAATTCTCGCTGCTACCACGGGCTTTCTTCGAGCACTCCTTTGCTTTTTAGTCAAAATCTTTCTTTGTGCACGCTCTCTGCTCCACTGTTGAATAATGTGCGTTGAGTTTTATCATTTAATTCTTTCTGAGCATTTGTACTGGAGGTCAAACGGCGACACTAACCTATGCAGGGGTGACCCAACTTTTAAATACGTCCAATCTCGTACGTCATTTATATCACAGGAAGGGCGTATACCAAATAATCCACCACTTGCCATATGGAAACAGAGAACATTGAATGATTTTATGTTTGTAATACGTTTTTTTTTAAATAAATTCCTAAAGCACTCCTATGCATGGAATTTACATCGCTTTGCAGGAGCGGTGATATTCTTTTCACAATGTTTTATGATTAACTAGCGTTTTCGACTTTGAAAACTCTTTTTTTTTTTTTTCTTTTTTGTTGTCTTTCTTTTTTGAAAGAGACATAAAACCTGGATAAGAGCGCAGATCTAAAAATGTATT